CCCCCCAAAAGTGAACCGTACCAAGCCGTACCATCCAGTGGAAAAGCGCCATTAGAATGCTGTTACAGTCATAAGCGATTGCATGTATTATTTATTCATATTTTAATTGTAATATATTTTCCTTTTAGGTGTCCAGCCACCATTGAATATGGTCACCCAGAATTTCACCGGAATGACACTGAATGCCCAGCCCTCAGCTGCCGCTCCCAGACCAGGAGTGAACCCCATGATGGCAGGGGGGACCTTGAGCATGGCAATGCCTCCTACTATGGCGACGGGCACTGTGGGAGTGGGCTCTGTGGGTACTGGAGGAATACCTGTCAATCAAGGACTCATGGGCATGAATATGATGCCTGCTGGAATAGGCCTGCAAGGTGCCCTCGGCATGCCCAGCATGGGGATTGGCCAGGCCATGAACCCCACCATGGTGCAACCTAAACAAGATGCCTTTGCAAACTTTGGCAACTTTGGGAAATGAATGGTGATCCACTCCAACAGAGTTAACAGTCCAAATACACCTTCTCAAAAGAAGGAGCTGCATCCAGTAAAATGGACAAAACTGACAAAACTAGCCCGTGTCACGACTCTTCAATCATTTGTCCTTATTCGTTAACAGATACAGAGAAACAAATCAAACACACAAGAATCTGTTTTTCTTTCATGTGGGGTTGATAATAGAAGACTGGGTTTTTTTTGTAAATGGTGCAAAGCATATTATATACTTTTGAAGGAAAAAAGATGACTGTGTGCAGTTTGGTACATTTTTCCATTGTCTGTTTCGTAACTCAAACGTCATAGACTTTTTTCCCATCATGGCCCTGCTCACTTTTCAAATACGACTGACTTCAAAACTTACCTCATGATTTGCATTTTTCATGCTGTGATTTAAAGGGGTTGATTTGTAAATATCGTGGTGTGCAAAAAATAAATTATTTTACTCACTTCTCAGATGGTATAAGATGGAACAATTTACCACAGGTCCTTAATATTTACTCATGTTTTTGTTTTTTTGGTTTTGAATCGTTAGTTTGTTTCTCCTTATATTCCGTTATCACTCCAGCACCTGTTATTTAGAGGAATAGGGTCAACTTTTTGTTAACAGGCTATATCTGTAGATATAGTTGGAGTACTTTTGTGTAGCAAGCTGCCTGACCGTAATTTGAAGTGTGCCTGCCTGTGAAATGGCCAGCAGCACTATGTAACTTTTTCTGTGTTCAAAATTTGCAAAAATGTATATAATGAGCGAGTACATCATGAATTCATCTTCCAAACCACGTTTTTGTCTTATTCCGAATCACTACGGTAAACTTATAAGTACTTATATTTGGACTATTGTAGCCTGGTCGGGTTGTCACCGCTGCGGAGTAACACATACCTGCGTGAATCGCCATAGACATATACTTAGAGAAAGTAGCTCCGGTTGGGATGTTCTTCCGCGGGATGTGTGCAGTTCTGTTCATTAACTGCTAGAGCACCAAAAGTTACATAGTGCTGCTTTAATAACACAAATGTGTTTGAAGGTTATTAACCGTACTTGACGAATCCAAAACGGTCTTAGAGAGGATGTGTTACATGAAAAGAGAAAGCCATTACATTCTTGAATGATATGGAAGGGGATAGTGCTGCATTTGTTCATCTAATGTGAAGATTTCTAGGGGTCTCTTCCCCGAATTTGAGAAACTTTTGTCATCTGAAGCTGCACAGATCAGTGCTTTGGTGGTAGCAGGAGTAGTGTTACGCTTTTCTAGTAACTACTTGAATTGGTATTTATAATGCCTCATAATAGCAGTCATATCTGTTATATTCTTGCATGTGTGTCGATTTTACAGTTTCAAGCATTGTTGCGGGTCAGTGTTAATTTATGAAATGTCTGTCACAGGATTATATGATGGCTACGGAATCGATGAAGGCATTGTGAACCCCAAATGAAGTTTACTTCCTTTTTTTTTTTTCTTTTTTTTTTTTAAACATTTGGTTTTGTCCATTTTCTCATATGCTGCTTAACAATGGGCCCTCCATCAGGCACTGAGGCATTATCTTCAAAATGACCAAATCTTTATTTTATTACTATTTAGATTTATTCCATAGTGGTTTAGTTTCTTATTTTAATACTTAACATTATACAGAGAGATCCTGTGCATATATACACTGTTCTAGACATGGGTGACTCAAGTAAACTCTTCTTAGTTTATGCAAATGTAAAGAGAAACATGCAATCGAGCGCCTCTTTCATTATAGTTTCTTTTCAGATTTCTGTTTTCGATTTTTATTGTACTGAGAAACTTTGGTTCACATTAAACGATTTCATCAAAAGCTGTCTTTGTGACTTGTGACTTCATTCTTATCAGTGGCTAGTTTTGTAAAATGAATATGATATTGTTTATAAAAGTGTTTCTTGGTTCTCTGTCTTTATACTTAAAATCTTAAACTTAATAAAATGTCATTTTTATGAATTAGTAGTGTTGCAATTCAAAGAGGTGATTTCAATAGTGAAGCCATGTTTATCAAAAATCGTATAAAATCGAATTAAAATAATGTAGATGATGATGAGCTCTGATTTGAAAGTAGAGAATCTGATATTGACAACTTATCTTCAATATCTTGGCATCTCAATCTACTACTTGATCCACTTTTCAAGATAAGATGTGGGCTGCGTTCAATAATGTCTTGTCATGTGGCTCCCTCCAGTGTCGACACCAGGGAGAGTCTGCATCATGTTTGATATTTATGGCCCCTAAATTATAAACATAAACACAACTTTTCTGAGCGAGAGAGAAAAAAACATTTAATACAATCTTCTACATGCCTTTTGTCATTTGATTGATAGTTCATACTTTTTTTGTAGTAAAAGCCCTTTTAGTGTACTTTTTATAAAATGTCCATCTTCAGGTTGTGTTGCTTCTGCTTTGAAATTTTTACAGATTTTTTTTATAAAGTAAGTATTTCAAGATCAGAGCTTTCAAGATTCAACATTTACTTAATGATGCAACTTAGATTCACTTGGATATCCATATAACACAACAGAAAAGCAAATTTCATATGCTGAAAACTACATTTTATTCCATCCCATGTTCAAGCTATTCTAGCCGTCTCTCTCTGACTTCATAAGCCACTTTGAAGATATGAGGCATCTGTCTTGAATCACGAATATTCCTTCCTTAATTAGAAGGACAGTCTTTTCATTAGTTCTGGACTTCTGGGTTCTTGTTTGTTCCCTTGACAGGATTGCAGTAGAGCGTGTTACCATTGTGATTTTTCTAAGTAATAGATTTTTCAGTTCTTATTACAACCACAATAGCTTTTGAGGTTGTATCACAAAAAAAATTTGGAATTCCCTGCCTTAAAGAGTGTTTGCATGTTCATAAACAATGGAAATGAATTAAACAGATCCAGGATCTGTTATGAAACGGCTCTGAATTCGAATTGGATGAGGCATGCGGGCAGCCAAGGTTCTCATTTCTTTTGATCAACACATTTCCAAGATTTGTTTTACAGTCATGTCATTATTGAAAAATATGTTTTTTTAAAAGAGCCATTTTTAGCCAATTATTTCGGAACAAAGAATAAAAAAATCATATTGAGTTTAGAAATGGACATGACTTTTTAGGATTGTATTAATCTCAGTTAAAGGTCCTTCATTACACTGTAATTTCTATTTGTATAATTAAATGTTCATTATAAAAATATTGCTACATGTGAAGAACTTTTATAAACATAAGCCATTTTTTATATGTATTGTGTAAAAAATGTTTAAAAACCAGCTGTTGCACTATTTCCTCAATGGCCAACAATTTTGACCCTACACTCTAAAAAATGCTGGGTTAAATACAACCCAGTGCTGGGTAAAATAGAGACAAACCCAGCAATTGGGTTGTTTTGACCCAGCGGTTGGGTTACTACCCAGAAGGTTGGGTTAAACATTTAACCCAACCGCTGGGTCAAAACAACCCAATTGCTGGGTTTGTCCCTATTTTACCCAGCACTGGGTTGTATTCAACCCAGCATTTTTTAGAGTGTAATGAGGTTTAATATGAAGTTCATTTATTTATTTACCAAGGAGACAGTGGTGTCAGTGAATAGTGCTTGAGATGAAATATCACAGATGTGTGTGAAGACTAAAAAGGCAAGTTAAATACTACAGTACTAACATAATATTTGTATTTGTGTGTTATTTCCGATCAAACTGTAATATTATTTAATTGTGTGCATTTAAGATACATAAAATCCCTCAGAGGACATACAAGTTGGACATCTTATCAAAATGTGTAAAATGCAATTTACATTACAGAATGTTATCATATTATCTATGACCGCTGTTAGATATGAATAGTTATAAAGCTGCAAGCAGCGTTTAATGGGCCCTCGCACCCGGAGCCACCTCCACCCAGTGAACTTAGGAAAACAGTGAACGGTGGGCAATATGCATTTAAAGTGGTAAATATAGGAGGAATATGACAAAGTCCTATGACTATAACTGAATATCGGCATGTAGATGTCTTCAGGCCAGAACTTTTATCAAACATGTGAAGTTTGGTGCAGATCATAACAACTTCCTGTTTCATGGCTTTCAGGCCACCACGGACACGCCCTTCAACGGAAACTCAAGATCTTCGCAATTTAACATCACAAAGGGCTTTAGATTCCACTGACCAAATTTGGTGTTGATCTGATTAAATCTTTAGGAGGAGTTTGTTCAAATCAAAGACTATAAGAATACCGACGCCTGAAAATGGCGAAAACCAAAATTCGCAGAGAAAATTCTAAATAACTGACTTCCTGTTGGGTTTTGGATTTTGCTCCAAGAGACTTTTTTGTAGGTATTGGTGTTTTACATGTGTCTACCAAATTTCGTACATGCACGTGAAACTTAGCTCGAGGGCACTTCATTGAAAGTGTATTGGTGGTGGCGCTATCGAGCCATTTTGCCACGCCCTCTTCTGAAAATTTCAGACGTAAATTAATAGTCATTTTCGCCACTTCTGGTGTGTGTGCAAGGTTTCATGTTTTACGAGTTTTCGAGCATGTTTAGGCCCTCAGAAATGAGATTCATTTAATAATAATAATAATAATTAATAATTAATAATAATAAACAGAGCAATTCCAATAGGGTCCTCGCAACACATGGCCAAAATTGCTCAAACACTCAAATGTCAAAGTCAGTAATGTCACATGATGTGCTTCTAACTGAGTGATTATTTATTATATGTGTGTTCCAGTAGCGTTTTGATTCAATGATGATTTAAAAGCAAGACTTTTTTTATTATATATATATATTTTTTATTAATGAAAATAGAACAAATAACAAACAGAGCATAGCATAAGACTGTCAGTGCTATGCAAAGTGTGACATTAATTAGTAACGGGAACTGAAAATAATGTCATACTATTTTAAACATGTTAATGACTTTTTGTTTTTTAACAATTCAGAGAAGATATAAAACAATCAAATTCCACTAAAAATACCTTAAATATTGGGGATGTAATTAAAAAAAATTAAAAAAGTTTTTTTTTTTTTGTAATTAAAGATTTCAATGATCGGTAAATCTAGTCAATGACGTAAAAAGAAGTGTGAGGAAGTGCTTCGCCAACCGGAAGTTCAGCTGCAGTGTGTTTAGTTTCTGGAGCGATGGCGGAGAAC